CCAGGATGCCCCTTCCATGGCTGCTCCACATAAGCACCTGCTTCCACCAGAGGAGAATCAACCAGCAGCAGCTAAAACCTTTTACACATGTCACTGCTGCTTCGTATTTTATTGGCCATAGCAAGTCACACAGTTATGCCTACTTGGAATGGAGTGGGAAGTGTGAATCTTGGTAATCCTACTGGCAAAGGGGAACAGGATGTGCCTACCACAAATATTAGATGCTATGAAAAAAGTGCATAGAGAGTCAGAGTATAGAGGGTTAGTATTCTTTGTAAAGATAATAGAAGCAAAATAAACATAGGCTTTCATGAAAATAATTGCTTAAGATGATAAAGTATGTATTTTGGAAACAATTGAGTTTATTTAAAAAAATTAATAACTATCTTAACAAATTGGTACTCAGATATGAAACACACATTAGGATCATTCATGAATGGCTGGCATTTGGTTAATATAAAGTTGTTCAGTCTATTTGAGGACAAGGATGATAATATTTATATTGGTAGCCTTGATTCTTTAGGTACATAGTAGATGCTCAGTAAAACTCTGTTGTTAATAATGCTCATTGTTTTAAATTCTTCTTGATTTTCTACCTGATTTAATGTCTCAAACTGTATTATATTATAATTTTTCTTGAGGTTTGAAATTATCTTCCAAGGCCAATTTTTATTGAATTTATATTAATATATTTATATTCAATTATAGTTTAAATTTGGATCACCCATACTTGGATCACTACTGTTCTCCCCTAATTTGTCTTAGGTGTTTTCCTAAACCATTAGTAAGCATTCAGTAGGAGAAAAAGAAATTGTAATACTAGGTTGGTGTCGGAATTTGCAATCTACTATCTTGTCTTTTTTTAAAAAAAAAAAAAACAACTTTTATATTTAACATACCTTTCACAACTGCTGTGTTGAAAAGAGTTTTTACAACAAATTTGAATAAAGTGGGCAGGAAATGACAAGATTTAAAAAAATTTATTCAAGGTCATACATATCCTTCTTGATTATAGAAGAGTATACATACTTGCTTATGAAGATAATAGAATTAGGATTTCATTCTATTTCTTTTCTTTTGCTTTTGACTAAGTCTTTATAACTTATAAAATAAATCACCCAAAGTAAGAATTGAGCTGTTCTTTGAGTGGATAGGTCAAGAGTAAACCAGAAGAGAGTCTCCATCTCTATCCAGTTGACCTTCACTTCAGTGTCTGAGTCATCATCCCAGAGCTGTTAGTCAAAACTTGTTTTAAATCAGGGCCTCTTCTGTCTGGGCTGGGCACCAGGTGAACCTGTGAGAGTCCATGACCTTTGATGCAGTTTGCTGCTCTTGGATTTGTACAAAATGTGTTGGTTAGTTGGCAAATGGCATACAGCTGGCTGCTGATTTGCAGAGTGCCTTAAACCCGTTACCTCCTGCCTTAACTTGATCATTTAAATGGAAAGCGCTACTGCTCCAACAGAGCAGAAATGATATAAAAACTATTTCTGACATGAGTATCTTGCCTCCTGAATTGCTATGGCTACTGGTATCTCTGAGGGAAAAAAAGTAAAAAAATAAAATAAAAACGCAGCTTTTACATTCTCACCAGTGGTAAACTCACTTTTCATTAAGAAAACCTTTAAATGTGCAATGAGTATTCATAGGCTAATGATAACTGATATCCAAAACATTACAATAATTCAATGAAATAGAATATCATTGTGAAAAGTATCAATTTGTATAGAAATTGCTAATAGTATCAATACATACTGGGAACTGTGCATACAATGGGCTGTAGTTTTGGCTGGGGAGTTATTTGTCTGGCCTTTCATTTGCAAGGATGACAGTATTCTTTTCCCTTCAAGGAGTATCTTAGGCTAGTTATTAATAAAAGAATATGATATCCTTTGTTCATAGTGGCAGAATTGGCAAAAGCAATCTAGAATCCTAATTTTAGAGGTCTTAGAATTTGGAGGAACCTCAGTAAGTTATCTAAAATGAGCATTTTATAAGTTGAAGATGGCTGGCTCTAGAGTCTGAATATTTGAATAGATCCCTTGTTCTACCATTAGCTGTCACTTGTTTAGCTTTCCATATCAAGTCTTTACCAAGCCTTATATGATCTGGCCTTTGGGCACTTCCTCACCCTCATTTTATGGTCTCTGCTTCTCACGTGCTTCATTCCAGCCTCTGTGCCACATCTTACGCATCCCAAAGACACATTTCCACTTTAGGCCTTTCTGTACTTGCTGTTTTCTCTGACTGGGATGCTCGTCTCCCAAATGCAAGCTGGTATTTATTGAGCAGATTCAACATGTTACAAGGTGTTCTAAATGCCTCATGTGTTTGTCTTGGTTGATTATCATAATCACTGTATGAAGTGGATAGTGACATTTGATGGATAAAGAAATTGAGGCAGATGGATTCAGCAGAGGCAGGATTGGAACCCAGGCAGCCGGGGCGGGATCTAAGGCTTTAACACTAAGTACTCTGACAGTACACGGCACCCAGGGCAGTGTCCACATCCTTGCTTTAACCTTAGGGCTCTTCCGTGAAGAGCATTTTCCTGACTATCTTATTTAAAGTAGAATCCCTGTGACTCTGTTTCTCTTTATTTTGTTTTACATTTCCTACAACACTATATATCTCCTATTCTTATACCATGATTTACTTTTTTATTCCTTTGTTTACCCCCACAAAAAACCTAGAATATAGACTATATGAACAAAGGGCCTTGTTCTGATTTATGTCTGTCTATATTCCCTGTACCCAGGTCAGTTCTTGACCTGTGGCAAGAACCGAAATGTGCTGAAGAAAGGATATAATTTGGGTTGAAATTACTGACTTTAAAACATTTTATTCAGACATTTACTGAGCACCGTTTTGGGCTAGACTCCATGCCAGTTTTTGGAAATATAAAGGTGAACAAGAATGATGTGACCTCCTGTTTTCCCAGAGTTTAGGACATCATGGAAGAAACAAGCAGTAACCAGGCAAATAAAGTAGGACAAGCGTTCTGTTAGGGCAAATAGAAAGTGCCCCAGTAAGTAAGGGTTCACGGAAAGCCCCTCTGAGGCGGTGATATCCATGCTGAGACCTGTAGGACCTGCCGAAGGGTAAGAGAGGTAGAGATGGGGTTGGGAGAGCAATCTGAGAAGAGGAAATGACAGAGGGTCCTGGAAGTAGCTCATTTGTGATTCAAGTATAGAATGTGAGGGGCAGAGCTTAAGGTCTGAGACAGGAGCAGAAAGCAAGGACCAGCCAAGAAGTCAAGTGCCTTGAAAACTGTGGTAAAGAGTTAGGACTTTATTGTCCAAGCAATGTGATATCACTGAAGGATTTTTAAATCAATGTGATTTTCAGCATCTGATTCAACTTAACTGCCTTTAGCCAGGTAAGTTGACAGCATCTCCATTTTTTAGATGGGAAAACTGAGGCCCAGTAGAACACATTTAAAACATCAGCAGAGTTGGTTTAATTTTCTCAATTACCATGTTGTCAGGACTCCTAACTCCTACCCTCCCATTCTCGCTCCTTCCTTCTTCCAATTGTTATTCTTGTCAAAAGTAAAACATAAAACTATTTACCCACCATCCTATCTTTTTCCAAGGAACACACATGCACTCACACGGTTTCCAGAAACCAGTTCCCCTCAGCGGAAGCCAGTTGCCTCGGGGGTGGTGGGGCTTGACGTGGATGGACACCATGTGTGCATTGAGCCCGAATTCTCTGTTCTTCTTGCCTAGGAAGCTGGATTTGTACCAAGAACCTTTTATCTGAAAAGGCGACTCCGGGCTCTGGAGAACAGAGCCGACTTGACAAAGTAGAGAGGAGCTCAATATTGGTCTGCCCACGCTTTGGGCATGCGTGAGCACTCGCAGCAAAACACAGCTGGCACATCTAATTTTAGCCTCGGCCGCCTTGAAAAGGGACCCTTTAAGGAAATATATTTTCTCTGAAACAATTTGTATTATAATGTAGCAGCTGATAGACATGTCAGAATATTATCATTGATGGAGAAAAACTCTGCCAAGTAATTATGATTTTTGTTCTTTTTTTGAGATGATATCAGTACAGCGATTAAAGCATCAATGAATCAAAATAATCATAAAAAGAAAGACGATGCAAGAAACACTGATGTTATTTATAAAGGAGCTCATAAACCTAAGGGACCACTTCCTTTGCTTTTTACAAAATGGATGTAATGATAAGAGTTATTATTTCTGAAATATTCAGTTGATCAGTCCAATGTGATGATACACGGCTTGTTAATAATAGTCCTATAGTAGACCCTAAAATTTCTTCATCCTCCACCTTTTCTAGGAAGTAAAAGGTTGGTTTCTCAACCAGCTCTTGGAGTCATCTGGCTTTAGTGTGTTAACAGGTTTTGGAAGCATCTGGGACACACTTTTTTCCATTTTAATGGCAAGGTTAATTCCTCTGCCTTTTTTATTTTTCCTTTCTTCTCCTTCCTCCTTTCGTCCTCTCTTCCCTCCTGTGGTCTTCTGTGTTTTGTTTAGCAGTGTGGCTTATCTTGGAACTTGGCAAGAAAAGGAAAAAAGGCAGCTCTTGTGTGGAGTAGATGGAGGGAGGGATAAGAAATAATCCACCACCCGCATTTGAGTTCTTCAGGTTCAGTTCCAGCGGCAGCAGCGTTGCTGCAAAAATCGCTTTGCTATTCGAGATAGCCAGCAGAGGGAATCGGAACTTTGCTTGCAGCAGGGGTTGAAGCAGCCTGTTTTTTTTTTTTTTTCTTGGAGGAAATACTGCAGCCTTCTGGACTGCGTACGCTGCTCCCTGGAGAGGCTCTCTCGGTTCCACCCACCGGCTGGAAGGAGGGGAAGTGAATGAAAGGACAGGACAAGCCCCGAACACCATGTCACTCTGGGAGGGAGACAGCAGCAACTAAGCTGTGCAAGGTTTTTTTTTTTTTCTTTTCCCCTTTCTTTTTCTTTCTTTCTTTTTTTTTCTTTTCCTTCTTTCTTTCTCTCTCTCTCTCTTTTTTTTTCCTTTTTCTTTAAGGTGGGGAAAGAGACAAACAGGAGACAGGAAGCTGATCTGCAAGGATTCGGAGTTGTGCTAAAAGGACTTGATTTTTTTCCCCCTTTACAAACGCTGGCAATTGACATCACTACAGACAGCCTGGTTAGAGAACAAACTGCCTCTTCCCAAGTGGACCCTGGCAGCTGGGGGAAGCCAGGAAAGATCTGGAGAGGCTGTGTGTGGGGTTTTTTCTACAGATCTCACTCCCCACCCTTTTTTTTTTTTTTTTTTTTGGTGTGTGTGCTTTTTGTTTTGTTTTGTTTTGTTTTTTTTAAAGAAATTCTTGCTGTGTTGGAACTAGCGAGTGGTGGAGTCTCTGAAGCCTCATCAGTCATCGGGACTGTCAGGAATAGTGGTTTAAGAGGAAGCTCGGCCTGGGGCACTATACCCTGTCATCCAGTTCCCTGCCTCGGAGATAAAGATTCCAGCTACATGGGCAAACGCCTGGATCAGCCACAAATGTACCCCCAGTACACTTACTACTATCCTCATTATCTCCAAACCAAGGTATGGCTCGACCCACTGTCAGGCAATCAGCGTGGTATCGTTCTGCACTTGGGATGGGAGACAGACAGGCGTGTGAATTATTGTTTAACCCCCCACCCCCATCACCTCTTCCTGCTTCTTTGAAATTAGTAACATACCAATGGAGTTAATGAGGCAGAGGAAGAAATGAGAAGAAAGCAGCAAACCCGGAATTGTAGCTTTCTCTTTAAGGAGAGATAATAGTTTCACTGGAGTTCAGTTCCTTTGTTGTTATTTGGCAACATAAATGGTCCTGATATCCGAAAGTCCTTTGCAGATGGGCAGGGTTTTTAGAAACGAGATCACAACAGTGATTATTAGGCAGAAAAATATAATTTCAGGGGCTTTTCTGGTGAGCTGTTCTTTGTTTGTGGCTTGAAAAGGGTTTTTTCCCACTGGATGGGACAGGCCAGGGTGGGGGCGACTCAAACTTTTAATCGCTGAGTATAGAATGAAAAAAGGGTGTGGGAAGGTATAGGGCACCTACCAAAGTCTCCTAAGTATGTTTGGGCATATTTTTATTTTTCATTTTCCTTGCATATTTTATTTGATATTGAGGATGATCAATGCTAGAGACTAAATAAGGAGCTTTACGATAGATGTTTTTTACTTTTAGAAGCTCTATTTTTCTGTGTCAGCTGCCATCAGGAGGCCTGGTCCTGAAAAGAAATGAAATGTAACTGGTAATAATTGGACTTGAAGTGGTTAAATACTTTAGGCTTTATGTGTGTGTGCTCAGAGGATCGTTAGGGGCCCAGAGGCAAGCCCACATAAGTAAGCAGTGGGCAGTGCCAACCCTGAACTTCATCCTGCAGTTAAGACATGAAAGACTCTCAGGTGTAAAATCATTGCTCCAGCTTGTCAATTAAATTGGACTTGATTTGAAGGAAAAAATGTTGGTAGAGTTACCTCCTCGAGTGCAAGGATGATATTATTTTGTATTGCATTAGCCAGAGTCCACCGTCTTAATAAATAAATATGCCGAAAGTGAACAAGGCATGCCTGAATGATCTGTGCTGTCACTAGGACTCCTGATATGATTAGGGTTTGGTAATTCATGCTGTAGTTATCTCTCATTTATTCTGTCTCATCAAACAATGCCTATTTGTAAAACAGCTGGGCAGCAGACTTTCAGTATTATGTTAAAGGTTGTTGCTTTTTTTCTTTTTCAATTGCTCTACCATCCGATCCACCTTACCCCTCCAAGGTCGCCTCACATTGCTTTTTGCCTTTGTGAGCATTTAGTTTGTGCTGCTGCTGCTTAAATAGACAAGCCCTCCTCTTCAGTGCCTGGAGTTTTAACTCTTTGGGGGACTGGGTAGAGAATGCTGCCTGCCTTTTCTCAAGGAAATGGCAAAGCAAGGACAAGTTAAAAAGGGGAAATTTATAGTCATTTCTCGTCCCTCAAAGAAACAAAAACAATAAACTCTAGGATTGTATGAGAAATATCAGACATTCCATCCCTTTTACTCATTTGGCTAAAGTTTTCCAAATGTTTCAAAAATCACGCTTTGTTTTTGGTCCTTGTTTTATACTATGGTCTATATTCAGAAAAGAAACTTTAGATTGAAATTAATGAAATAATTGTTTTTCTGCTTGAGATTTCTATTAACCTATTACTAGCAGGAAATAATGAAAGCTGTGCACAGCACCTCAGAGACACAGGGTGCTGGATGAGCTACACTGGTAGAAAGTGTCTGTGTGTGTGTGTGTGTGTGTGTGTGTGAGTGATGGTAAAGAGGGAAAGTGGAGTGGTGAGGCAAAAGAGGAGAGTCTAAAAAATACAGAGTTTTAAAAAACATGTTTTGGGGTCCAATGTAGTTTAGTGTTGTATGGACAGGCAGCATCTGGATCTTGTTACTTTCGAGCTAGCCAACGCCATCAACTTCTGGGACATTTTTAAAGAATTTAGAACCATTAGGCGTCCTAAGCTGATATTGTACTAATCAGATCAGGGTAGTAGGGAATAGAAGAAGATCAGCTCCCTTGGCTATCAGGGTAGTTCATATTGATTATTATGTTGTACCATTTCGACAGTGCTATGAAGTTGTCGAATATTATTACGGCGGCTCTGAAATGACAGACAGTAACAACATTCCTGGAAGCTGAAGATGTGAAAACATGCCCTGTTTCAAAACTTGGGTACAGAGGGAATGGGATGAAGGGTCAATATGCAATTATATTTTAAAATGTGGGGACTTTCTGACAGAGTTAATACTATACACTGAAGCACTCTCACACCCCAGGGTAACAGAATAGCTGGGTCATTTCCACATCACTTTTTGCCCCTTTACACCTATATCTCAAAGTATAATTTAGAATAATTTTAAAGAAAGTACATGCTGCTTATATTTATTTGGTAAGCCTGGGTGGAATTCATAAAATCTACTGTTTGAGCCTTGACTGGTAGTTATAATCCAATTTTAAGATCATAGCTATTTAAAATGATGCTGATATGTAAATAATATTTACATTTGATAAAAATAGAATTTTACAGTAGAGAGAAATCATATTCTGGTGAGACGGTATCTTAAATTGTTCTCTAAATTCAAGTGATTCCCCCTCAATCCACAAGAGCTATTTGCTGACATTAGTTTTGGGGGTAAAATCTTCATGGAGTTTTAAAGAATTGAAATGTTTATTATTGTTATCTTTCAGAAAATGCATAAAGACCGAACTCTCATTCCATTTAAATATGTGTAGTGTTAGATACAGCTGCTATTTTCCCATGATAAAACAAAATGCAAATGGGATTTTTAAAATAAATGCAAATGTTTTCCATTCTCTCAATGCATATTAAAGTTTTAGAGGAACTTGTGACACTTCCTTGCCTTCTCTGCTCTTATTATGTCCCTTTATATTAGAACAAAATTCTCAACTTTGCTTCTTAAAAATAATAGAAATAAGATATTTATACTCTATTCCTTTAAATAATTTTCCACATGTTTAAAATGTTTTATATTAGAAAAATGTACATGTAAGTTAAATAAGATGAAAATCCAGTGGTTGACATGCAGCTATAATTTGTAGCAATGTTATAGTATGCTCCCTTTTTCACACCTTGTATCTTAAAAGTTATTATTTATTAATTTTCTTTTTGACCAGTTTCTCTCATATTGAAAGAAGCAATTTTAAGAAGGAACATTGCTTGTCCTTAAGAAATAATGAAGAAATCTTAGTGACATGTTATAATATTTAAATGAGAAACATGGCTGGGTTGAAAAAATGTTTACAAAGCAAATTTGCTGTTTGGAAGACCACTCAGAATAATCAACAAATTTTGGGGAAAGGAGGCTCAAAAATAATTCCTTAGCTTAATGACAAAATATAAAATGATGTTCGATTAGTTGTAACCTAACATTTTTCAAGTGTTTTGTTACAGCCCTTTCAAAAAAACCAACCTGTAGTTGTCGGATTATGAGATCCTGGATGAATTTCATTCTGAATTTGAAATACTTTGGGGGTTTTCTTGAAAAAAAACAAATTAGTTTAACTAGAAAAGCTAAAAAGACTAAAACGTGGTGACAGCATGGTGAATTGATGTTTTGCAGTTGAGAAATAGATATTTCTCTCACATATAATGTTTGGAAAACTTTAGTCATCTTCATAAAACTTAAAAAATCACCCAAGCATGCACAGCAAGTTTCTCCTTTCTTCCTTTTCCTCACCCTTACTAGTCCACTGTGTTCCTACCAATCCAGTGCACAGTTTCCAATCACGTTGCTCTTATATCCATTTGCTGCATTCCCTTCTTTGGCCATCTGGCTCCCCAGAAGGTTCTGGAGAAAGGGCTTCAAACTAGGGAACCCTAACGGGGTTTCTCCGGCTGGTGGTACTGAGATTGTGTTCAGCGCCTGGTGTGGAGAAGGGGTCAGGTGTAAGGAGTAATTCATCAACTACACACCGATTTCAGGCTGAATATTCAACCATCTACAGCCTGGACTGCCGCCCAGCCCTGAAAGTCTAGCTGGAGCTCTGTTGATTGTGCCATAGAAAGAGCAAACACTTCAGAACACAAGGAGTGAGTAGAAGGCAAAGGAAGAGAGAGTCCTGTGGGGCAAAGGATATTCTTAAAGATGTGAATGTGCAGATCCTTCAAAAGCAAAACAAAACAACCACTGAACACACTCCTTATACATGAAAATGTAGAAAATCTTGCATAGGGAGGGAATGAGTTTAGAATTTCCTTAGTACTTCCTGCCTCAGATTTGCATTGATAGCCAGAGTTGGTAACTTGCCAGTTGTTTTAAAACAGCCTTGAAAACTCCCAAGTTCTGTTTTCCTTTGAAAGCCTGAAACACACAAAACTGGTTTTCTAAAAATCTTCCAGGGATAGAATTTTTAGGTACAACTCCAGATATTTTCTTTCACTTCAGGGGGGTAATATGATAGCATGAAACTATGATAAATCTTGTCTCATTTTAGAATATATAGAAATGTAATTGGTTTTAAATAAGAGAAAAATAGAAACGAGAGGCTACCCTCTCTTTTTAGTTTTTTTTTTTTTTTTTCTTCTTTACTAACCCAAATACTTATTTTCAGTGGGAATGGACACAGTTCCAAGGCATTTTTTGCAGTCTTTTCTATAATGTAGTCATACTTTTAACAACACTAAGTTTGATGCCTACTTAAATGGAGTAGAAATGTTAAAAATTCACATTCTTTCTTCAGAATAAATGTAAACTTGGGGAAACACCATGTATATGTCTTTTAGCAGAATCTTCGTAAAATATTTTCCTTTCACTTTTTCTCAATTTGGAAAACATAACACAAAATTATTTCCATGAAGTAATAAAATCTATTTGAGGCCTGAGGGTAGGGGCGATTTGCAGGAAAAGGGACGTCAAAATGAAGGGAGGAGGCAAGTTCATTCCAGGTCTTTCTGGCTTCGGGAATTCTGGAAAGCTTCATTTTTGCACTAATATGATTTTACACAATTCTTTTTGACATTATCAGTCTTTTTGGCACAGAGCAAGCTCGGT